ATCATCATCATCACCATCATCATCATCAGCATCATCATCGGGACACCATAATCATCATCAACATCATCATCATCAACATCATTATCGCCGGGACACCATTTCCATCAACATCATCATCACCAACATCATCGGAATCATCATCATCATCATCATCATCATCATCGGGACACCATCATCGTCATCATCATCAACATAATCATCATGAGCATCATCATCCTCATCATCGGGACACTATCATCATCATCGACACCATCATCAACATCATCATCTTCATCGGGACACCATCATCATCATCTCATCATCATCATCATCATCATCATCATCATCATCATCATCATCATCATCATCATCATCATCATCATCATCATCATCATCATCATCATCATCATCATCATCATCATCATCATCATCATCATCATCATCATCATCATCATCATCATCATCATCATCATCATCATCATCCTCGCGGGACACGCGGGACACCGGCGGGACACCGCGGGACACCGCGGGACACCGCGGGACACCGCGGGTCACCGTGGGACAACGGCGGGACACCGCGGGCCCCCGGCCGCCCGGAAGGGAGTCATTTGGTCCGGCCGCGCCTCAGCCACACGGGACACCAGCGGGACACTGGCGGGACACCGCGGGCCCCCGGCCGCCTTGAAGGGAGACATTTGGTCCGGCCGCGCCTCAGCCACAGGAGACTTTCTCTCGCCCGCCCACGCAGCTTCGCCTCGCCCGCACGGCACGAACACGAGCACGAAACCGAAATCGATTTCCAGGTAGGGGGGCTCTCCGTTCCACTTCGATCTCACCCCTTCACCTCCGATATATTTATACAGGTATGCACATTGATACATGTAAATACACGTATGTGTATAAGTACACAGGGAGTGCTCGGGATTTCTGGCCCTGTGGTTTATCATTCCTAGGAATTACTCGTTCTAGGGATTCCTCGTCTTAGGGAGCATTACTCCTACGGAGCAGCAGCCCTAGGTAGCACTTGCCCTAGGGATTACTAGTCCAAGGGGTCACTCGCCCTAGGGAGCACTAGCAGTAGGGATTACTAGTCCTAGGGCTTCCCATTCCTACGGGGTACTATGCCTAGGAGTACTATTCCTAGGGAGTGCTAGTTAGGGGGTGCTAGCCCTAGGGAGTGCTAGCCCTAGGGAGTACTAGTCCTAGGGATTATCACCCCTTGGGTGTACTAGTCCTAGGGAGTACTAGCTGTGGGGAGTACTCGTGCGACGGAGTACTAGTCGTAGGGAGTACTGGGCCTAGGGAGTGCTAGTTCTAGGGAATACTAGTCCTAGGGAGTACTAGCCCTAGGAATGCTAGTTCTAGTGAGTACTAGTCCTAGGGATTATTAGCCCTAGGGAGTACTCGCCTCAGGGATTTTAAGCCAAGGGGTACTACTCCTTGGGTGTATTAGTCCAAGGGGGTACTTGTCCTACGGAGTATGTTTCCTAGGGAGTATTAGCCCTAGGGATTATTGATGCTAGGGATTACTGAGGACCTGGGGAGTATTCGTACTAAAGAGTTCTAGCCATAGGGATTATTAGTCCTGGGGATTACTAGGCCTAGAGGTTACTACGGGCCCCTAGGGTGTTCAGGGCAACAACAAACAACAACGACAACAAAACAACAAAAACAACAACAACAATCCAACAAACCAACAACACCAACACAACACCAACACAACAACACACACATATACATACACACACACATACATACATACATACATACATACATGCATGCATGCATGCATGCATGCATGCATGCATGCATGCATACATATATGCATGCATACAGACACACACACACATATATATATATATACATAAGACTGCAGTGGCGCTTCGCGCCATGCACCTTGGTCCTTGAAATTTGGTATGCAGGCGGAATAGCAGGAAGGTCAAGCCGACAATTTAGCGATGACTCCTTGTTGCCTTTTCTGGCATCGCCGCTATGGTAATGTTACTCGTTATCCTTCCTCCATGCTTCTTTCCTCATGTTCGCCATACCCTGCACATTCTCCCTATCCTCCTCACCTTTTTTTTGCGGAGGCTCCTCCTGGGAGAGCCTCTGGGGGCCTAAAAACAATTGTTCAGGCTTTCTTAAGGCCTTCTGGAGGCCTCCTGCGCGTATTCTGGGGGCCTCTGGGGGCTTCCTCGGGCCACCCTGCCTCCAACCACGGTCTCCCTGAACGACCGGGTCACGATTTGGAATGCTTCGGAGGGTGTCTTGGGGCCATCTTGGGCTGCCATGGGGCTCTCTGAGGGCCATCTTGGACCCGTGTTGTGCCGTTTTGGGGCTCTCTTGGACTGTTTGGAAGCCTTTTCGGATGGTTGTGGGGCGATTTGGGAGCCTCCCAGGCGGCTTCGGACGCCCAGAAGACCGCCGTCTTGGAGCGTCGGGAAGCCGGAAAGAGGAGAACCCCCAAATTCACGAAAAACTAACAGAACATCCATGATTTTTGCCTCTTGGGAGTGTTCTTGGAGGCCTCTTTGGGGCCGTCCTGGAGGCCTCTTGGGCCATCTTGAGGTCACGTCGGTCACTCTTGGAGCGCTCTTGCGTTGTCATGGGGGTCTCTGAGACGTCTCCGATGACCCCCCTGATCGCCCTAGGTGTGCTGGGAAGGCTAGGCAAAACGCCCTGCGAGGCCAGGGGGGCCGCTTCGAGGCCCGTCCGGAGGGTCTCAAAGTCCCAGATCCCGGGAGTCAGGATTTTTTTTGGGGGGGTGACGGGTTTCCCCCCCGCCCGGGCTTACAAAAAGATGGGAAGAGGAATATGTATTTTCATCTATATATGTAGATATATACACATTTACAATATTCATTTTTGCATACGTTCAGGGGTCTGTTATGGACTCGCTGGTTAGTGGTAGTAGTAGTAGTAGTAGTAGTAGTAGTAGTAGTAGTAGTAGTAGTAATGGTAGTCGTAGTAGTAGTAGTAGTAGTAGTAGTAGTAGTAGTAGTAGTAGTAGTAGTAGTAGTAGTAGTCGTAGTAGTAGTAGTAATAGTAGTAGTAGTAGTAGTAGTAGTAGCAGTAGTAGTAGTAGTAGTAGTAGTAGTAGTAGTACAACAATAACAAGGCGAATCATAATATTATCATGACTAATACGATGAGTCAAAATAATATTAAGCAGAAGAACCAGAATACGAGTAATAAGAAGAGTCATCATGATAGACGAACAAGAAGACGACACCTACTGATAATAATATAACGAAGAAGATTATGAACAATACTACGAATATTAGTTATATTAATAACATGGGTGTTGCTAGTGCTAATAAGAATAATGATGCGTACTGCTGGTACTACTTATGATAAGAATAACACTAATACTACTAATTATGAAGAAACGAATCGTAATACTACTAAGAAGCATAATAAGACGAATCATACCAATAATCCGTAAGGGCTTCGCCCCCTGCCGCCGGCCCCCTCTCTCGGAGAATAGGCCATGGAAGAGCTAAGTCATGAGGCCTTGGCGCTGTCGTGAAGCAGTATCGAAACTTCATGCGAAGCCGATTCGCAATCAGCAAAACCAACTGATCACAAGAGGGGTTACCACACCTGGCGATTGGTAAGACGTGTATGGTTTACGGGCTTGGTTACCACACCTTGCGATTAAAGGGCCGAGGGAGTTCTCGCAGTTTGGGTTACCACGCCTTGCGATGGATGTGCGTGAAGGGTGGCACCGAATTTCAGAAATGTGCCAAATCCCCTGTGTTTTTGGACCCTGACCCCGCGGATCTGCGTAAGGGGTGGCGCCGAATTTCAGAAATGTGGCAAATCCCTGTGTTTTTGGACCCTGACCCGCGGATCTGCGTGAGGGGTGGCACCGAATTTCAGAAATGTGGCAAATCCCATGTGTTTTTGGACCCTGACCCCGCGGATCTGCGTGAGGGGTGGCACCGAATTTCAGAAATGTGGCAAATCCCATGTGTTTTTGGACCCTGACCCCGCGGATCTGCGTGAGGGGTGGCACCGAATTTCAGAAATGTGGCAAATCCCCTGTGTTTTTGGACCCTGACCCCGCGGATCTGCGTGAGGGGTGGCACCGAATTTCAGAAATGTGGCAAATCCCTGTGTTTTTGGACCCTGACCCCGCGGATCTGCGTGAGGGGTGGCACCGAATTTCAGAAATGTGGCAAATCCCTGTGTTTTTGGACCCTGACCCCGCGGATCTGCGTGAGGGGTGGCACCGAATTTCAGAAATGTGGCAAATCCCCTGTGTTTTTGGACCCTGACCCCGCGGATCTGCGTGAGGGGTGGCACCGAATTTCAGAAATGTGGCAAATCCCTTTGTTTTTGGACCCTGACCCCGCGGATCTGCGTGAGGGGTGGCACCGAATTTCAGAAATGTGGCAAATCCCATGTGTTTTGGACCCTGACCCCGCGGATCTGCGTGAGGGGTGTCGATTTCGAGCCCCCCCCTGCAATTCAGACAACGCGCCCAGGGGGTGCTAAAAATCCCGTTTGGGCCTCCCCCCCCCTCGCGCGGTCAATCAACTAGTTACAGTAACCAGCAATAAGTCAACTAGTTACAGTAACCAGCAAGAAGCAGAACTGTAACACTGGAAACTACAAGCTACAACTGGTACAGGAAACTGCGAACCTCGCTCCTACAGCCTGGTGGCCCCACAAGGGGGCCGGCGGATAGTAAGAGTATTCAGAAAAGGACGAGTAATACTAATAATACTGATGCTCATAATAAGAATAATCGTATTGCTATTAATCGTCCTATTAATAAAAATAATACTAGTAGTAGTGTTATTAATGGTAACCAAAAGAATAATACTAGTAAGGAGGATGAGCTGATGAGGAGGAGGAGGAGGAAGAGGAGGAGGAGGAGAAGGAGGAGGCAGAGGAGGAGGAGGAGGAGGAGGTGGAACATATGGAGGAGGAGGGCATCTTGGACGCTCCCCTCTTGGACGCCCTCGGTCCTCCTGCTCTTCGGGGGCGGGCCCGCGGCCCGACGGCGGGCCGAGGACCTCACGCCAGCGACGGCGCGCCGGGCCCGCCTTCGAGGCCAGCGCAGCCGTTGGAGGTGCCGCGGCGCGCCCGCAGGGCGAGTGCCTGGGCGCGCCCCTGACTTCAGAGAAGGGTCACTTTTTCGTTCAGCCTTTTTCCCTTCCCCAGGCCCCCGACTTCAGACCGCTGCCCTTGCCTCCTTTTCGCCTCTTTGGGCCTCCTGGGAGGCCCTCGCCGCCACGGCTGGATTCGCCTCGAAGTCCTTGTCCCTTGTCAGAACGCACCCCGGGAGAGGTCTGGAGAGTAGCAGCATCGGTACCTTCTTGTTCCCCCAGAGGCCCCCAATGCATTGAAGACATCCAGACGGAGATTTTCCATAGTTTCGATCTCTGGCGGCCCTCGTTGGGCCCAGGGACGGTCAAGAAACGAGACAGTATGGAACCCAGCCCTGCCTGGGGAAGGGGTCCGGAGTTCTGGGAATTGCGCATTGAACAAATTACAACGTCGTGTCTCTGAGTGGCGCGCCCGCGGGTCGAGTGCCCGGGCGCGCGGCTCGAAAACCCGGACATCCCACGACCTGTTTTTCCCAACCATTCTGTGGTGTTGGGTCTTCGTTTTGAAGAGACGGTCCCCGCGTTCCTCTTCTCTTCTCCTCCTCCTCCCCCTCCTCCTCCCTCCTCCTTTTTCCATGCGTTTCACCCACCCACCCAGCACAGCGTTTCGTGGCCCCATAGGGAGCTCCACCAGAACCCCCAGTGGCACCGCCCGCATGCGTCCGCCACCACCCAGTACAGCCCTTGCTCCGTGCGTTTCGCCCACCCAGTGCATCGTTTCGTGGCCCCATAGGGAGCTCCACCGAAGGTCCCAGTGGCACCGCCCGCATGCGTCCGCCACCATCCAGCATAGCCCTTGCTCCCAGCGTTTCACTCACCCATTACAGCGTTTCGTGGCCCCATAGGGAGCTCCACGGAAGGTCCCGGTGGCACCGCCCGCATGCGTCCGCCACCACCCAACACGGCCCTTGCTCCCTGCGTTTCACCCACCGAGTAAAGCGTTTCGTGGCCCCATAGGGAGCTCCACGGAAGGTCCCAGTGGCACCGCCCGTTGCGCCCGCCACCACCCAGCACAGCCTTTGCTCCCTGCGTTTCACCCACCCCGGAGGTCCCAGTGGCGCCGCCTGCATGCGTCCGCCACCACCCAACACGGCCCTTGCTCCCTGCGTTTCACCCACCCGGTACAGCGCTTCGTGGCCCCATAAGGGGGGCTCCACCGAAGGTCCCAGTGGCACAGCCCGCATGCGTCCGCCACCACCCAACACAGCCCTTGCTCCGTGCGTTTCACCCACCCAGTACAGCGTTTAGTGGCCCCATAGGGAGGGAACTCCACCGAAGGTACCAGCGGCACCGCCCGCATGCGTCCGCCACCACCCAGCACAGCCCTTGCTCCGTGCGTTTCACCCACCGAGTACAGCGTTTCGTGGCCCCATATGGAACTCCACGGAAGGTCCCAGTGGCACCGCCCGCATGCGTCCGCCACCATCCAGCATAGCCCTTGCTCCCAGCGTTTCACCCACCCAATACAGCGTTTCGTGGCCCCATAGGGACCGCCACCGAAGAAGATATTCACAATTGCGGTACTCACAACTGCATATGGTTGGTTGGGTCTTTCGCCAGGCTAATCTTATTTCCCAGCCTTCCTGGGTTGGGTTTTCGTTTTGGGCAAAGCACTGCGGTCGCGTCTCCTCGTTCTCCTCCCGCCTCCCGCCTCCCGCCTCTCGCCGTTTTTTTTTTTTTTTTTTTTTTTTTTTTTTTTGTTTTTTGTTTTTTTTTGTTTTTTTGTTTTTTTGTTGTTTCTCTCTCTCTCTCTCTTTCTCTCTTTCTCGGTTTCTCTCTTTCTCTCTTGCTCTCTTTCTCTCGTTTTTTTTTTTTTTTTTTTTTTTTTTTTTTTTTTTTTTTTTTTTTTTTTTTTTTTTTTTTTTTTTTTTTTTTTTTTTTTTTTTTCTCTCTCTCTCTCTGTTTGCCTGCGGTACCTGTCTAGGATCTCGCCGTCCCTGGGGGGCTGTGATCTGCGACGCTGTCGCCACTTTCGAGGGCTGCTGGTGGGTCCAGCGGAGCGAGGCACCGCGCAGACCTGAGCGGGACCTCGCCGTCCCTGGGGGGCTGCGATCTGCGACAGTGTCGCCACTTTCGAGGCTGCTGGTGGGTCCAGCGGGGTGAGGTACCGCGCAGACCTGAGCGGGACCTCGCCGTCCTTGGGGGGCTGCGATCTGCGACAGTGTCGCCACTTTCGAGGGCTGCTGGTGGGTCCAGCGGAGCGAGGCACCGCGCAGACCTGAGCGGGACCTCGCCGTCTTTGGGGGGCTGCGATCTGCGACAGTGTCACCACTTTCGAGGGCTGCTGGTGGGTCCACCGGAGTGAGGCACCGCGCAGACCCAAGCGGGACCTCGCCGTCCTTGGGGTGGCTGCGATCTGCGACAGTGTCGCCACTTTCGAGGGCTGCTGGTGGGTCCAGCGGAGTGAGGCGCCACGCAGATCTGCGACAGTGTCGCCACTTTCGAGGGCTGCTGGGGGGTCCAGCGGGGTGAGGCACCGCGCAGACCTGAGCGGGACCTCGTCGTCCCTGGGGGGCTGCGATCTGCGGCAGTGTCGCCACTTTCGAGGGCTGCTGGTGGGTTCAGCGGGGTGAGGCACCGCGCAGACCTGAGCGGGACCTCGCCGTCCGTGGGGGGCTGCGATCTGCGACAGTGTCGCCACTTTCGAGGGCTGCTGGTAGGTCCAGCGGAGTGGGGCACCGCGCAGACCTGAGCGGGACCTCGCCGTCGATTTGCGACGGTGTCGCCACTTTCGAGGGCTGCTGGTGGGTCCAGCGGAGCGAGGCACCGCGCAGACCCAAGCGGGACCTCGCCGTCCCTGGGGGGCTGCGATCTGCGACAGTGCCGCCACTTTCGAGGGCTGCTGGTGGGTTCAGCGGGGTGAGGCACCGCGCAAACCTGAGCGGGACCTCGCCGTCTTTCGGGGGCTGCGATCTGCGACAGTGTCACCACTTTCGAGGGCTGCTGGTGGGTCCACCGGAGTGAGGCACCGCGCAGACCCAAGCGGGACCTCGCCGTCCTTGGGGTGGCTGCGATCTGCGACAGTGTCGCCACTTTCGAGGGCTGCTGGTGGGTCCAGCGGAGTGAGGCACTTCGCAGACTTGAGCGGGACCTCGCCGTCTTTGGGGGGCTGCGATCTGCGACAGTGTCGCCACTTTCGATGGCTGCTGGCGCGTCCAGCGGAGTGAGGCACCGCGCAGACCTGATTGGGACCTCGCCGTCGATCTGCGACAGTGTCGCCACTTTCGAGGGCTGCTGGTGGGTCCAGCGGAGTGAGGCACTGCGCAGACCTGAGCGGGACCTCGCCGTCCTTGGAGTGGCTGCGATCTGCGACAGTGTCGCCACTTTCGAGGGCTGCTGGTGGGTCCACCGGAGTGAGGCACTGCGCAGACCCAAGCGGGACCTCGCCGTCCTTGGGGTGGCTGCGATCTGCGACAGTGTCGCCTCGCCGTCCATGGGGGGCTGCGATCTGCGACAGTGTCGCCACTTTCGAGGGCTGCTGGTGGGTCCAGCGGAGCGAGGCACCGCGCAGACCTGAGCGGGACCTCGCTTGGAGCGATCTCGTGGCATGTCGGATCCCTTTTGTTCTATCTTCGGGGCCTCTTGGGGGCCTCTTGGCTCTCCTTGGGGCTCTCTGGAGGGCCTCGAGGGCGGCGCCCAGGAGAAAAAACATCTCTGACCCGACTCGGCCGGGGACCGCCTGGGGTACTTTTCGTCGGGGGACCCCTAGGGCCGCTCCGTTCGCGCGAAGTAGAAATTCTGTGCGCAGTTACCGGAGATCTTAGCACGCCTCTGGCCCGTTGGGCCGGCGAATTATTGTTGATCCCCCCCTCTGGTGACCGTTGTGTGTTTCAATTGAAGTGCTTCCCCCGGGGCTCGCACCCTGTCTTTTTGTATCAGGGAAATTCATTCGGCTCAAATGGCGCCCCTGGCCCTCGGATTGCAACAACAACGGCTCCCGCTTGAGATTTCCTTACCACTTAGCCAGGACCCCCGCTCCCGCCTGAGACTTCTGCGCATTTTACTCAGGAATCGCCCTCGCCCTTGGGACTTCCTTATAATTTATTCAGGAATCGCTCTCTCGGCGCTCTGGAGTCGCTGGAGACTTGCTGGCAATCTATTCAAGAATCGCGCTCTTGCGTTGGACTTCCCAGCAATTTACTCAAGCGCCGCGTTGCCAACGCTCCGGCACCAGGAATCGCGCTCACGCTTGGGTCTCCTTCACAGCTTACCTAGGAATCGGGATCTCGTTGCCCTTCGTGGCCCCGTTGCAGCCCTTCGTGGCCACCTCGCTGCCCTTCGTGGACCCGTTGCAGTCTTTCGTGGCCCCCTCGCTGCCCTTCGTGGCCCCGTTGCAGCCCTTCGCGACCCCCTCGCTGCCTTCGTGGACCCGTGGCCCCCTGGCTGCCCTTCGTGGCCCCGTTGCAGCCCTTCGTGGCCCCTTCGCTGCCCTTCGTGGCCCCGTTGCAGCCCTTCGCGACCTCCTCGCTGCCCTTCGTGGCCCCGTTGCAGACCTTCGTGGCCCCTGTTCGTTCGCGCCCGTAGTGGCCCTTCTCACCCCTTCGTGGCCCGTGCTGCCCGTTGTGGCCCCGTTGCATGTATGCCCTTAGTGGCCCCCGTTCGTTCGCGCCCGTCGCGGCCCCATCTGCATGCGCCTTGTGGCCCCGCTGTCGCCCTTCGTTGCCCCCTCGCTGCCCTTCGTGGCCCTGTTGCTGCCCTCAGTGGCCCCGTCCTTGCCTTCTGCGGCCCAGTATACGTACAACTTTCGTGGCCCCCGTTCGTTCGCGCCCTTCGTGGCCCCCTCGCTGCCCTTCGTGGCCCCGCTGTCGCCCTTTGTGGCCCCGTCGCTGTCCTGCGTGGCCCCGTTGCTACCCTCAGTGGCCCCGTCGTTGCCCTCTGTGGCCCTGCATTATCTGCCCTTCGTGGCCCCATACGCATGCCCTTCGTGGCCCCGCTGTCGCCCTTCGTGGCCCCCTTCCTGCCCGTCGTGGCCCCACTGTCGCTCTCGCTTTCGCTCTCGCTCTCGCTTTCGCTCGTCGTCGTCGTCGTGGTCGGTCCCCTGTCCGTCCCTATTGGGGTCGGGTTGCCGCCGATCAGCTCTGCCGCTGGCGAGGCCGACGGTCCGCGGCTGCCCCGCCGCTTGCCGGGGCCCAGCCTGCAGGGAAGAAACATATACCCCCCCAAAGGGTTATGATCGAAGACGAAGAGGGCGGGTAGCGAAGGTTTGGGAAATACGCGTTGAATGACACTCGAGGAGATAAGAACGAACAATCTTGAAATGATTGTTGTTGTTGTTGTTGCTGTTGCTGTTGCTGTTGCTGTTGCTGCTGCTGTTGTTTTTGCAACCCGAGACCGTCGGGTCCGGAGGCGGTGCGGCAGTCGTTTCGCATGAGGTTTCTTCACAGCTTGTTGGGAGTCGTGCTCTCGCCTCAACGCTGGAGGCGGCTTTTGGTTGGCGTGACCCCAACATACTTATACTATATGTCCGTCGCCCCCCTAGGGGCGACGCGCGCACTGAGAAATCTTATAGTATATGCGTCGTGGCGGGCGCTTTCTGGCCACACCGCTCGGGAAACGATATGCTGCAACATGGGTATACAATATGTTCGGGTCGGACGCGCGCCTCCAAGGAGGACATGTAATATTGGTATGTCCCTGTGCGTCCCATTTGGCTCAGCACACTAACGTGCACGCGGCCGTGCCTCGACCTCTTACTCCTCGACCCGCCTCTTCACGGCGCGGGCCCCTGGAGGTTCAGGCCCCGCTTCCCCGGGGACCGACGGGAACCGCTCTCTCATCTCGAGCAGCAGCAGCAAGAACAACGACGACGACGACGACCACGACAACAACCACAGCAACAACAGCAACAACAACATCACCAACAACAGCAACACCAACACCACCACCACCAACAACAGCAGCAACAACAACAATCTTTTTAAGACTGTTCGCCCTTATATGCTCGAGTGTCCAATAACGCGTATTTCCCAAACCCTCGATACCCGCCCTCTTCGTCTTTGATCGAACCCCTTTTGGGGGGTATACCTTTCTTCCCTGCAGGCCAGGCCCCGGCAAGCGGCGGGGCGGCCGCGGACCGTCGGCCTGGCCAGCGGCAGAGCTGATCGGCGGGGCGGCTGCGGACCGTCGACCCGACCCCAGGAGGGACGGACAGGGGACCGACCACGACAACGACGACGTCGACGACGACGGCGACGACGGCGACGACGAGCGAAAGCGAGAGCGAGAGAGAACGACAGCAGGGCCACGAAGGGCACGACGTAGGCCACGAAGGGCGACAGCGGGGACACGAAGGGAATGCGCATGGGGCCACGAAGAATGCGAACGAGCGGGGGCCACGAAGTGCAGATAATGCGGGGCCACAGAAGGCAACTGTGGGGCCACTGAGGGTAGCAACTGGGCCACGTAGGACAATGAGGGGGACACAAATGGCGACAGCGGGGCCACGAAGGGCATGCACATTGGGCCACAACGGGCGCGACTCCTGGGCGCCTGGGTGTCGGGAGCGCGGCGCTTGGGCAAGTTGCAAGAAATTCCAACGCAAGGCTATTTTCAGTAAGTTTGAAGCAAGTCTCCAGCGAGAGCGCGACTCCAGAGCTCCGGGAGAGCGATTCCTGAATAAATTATAAGGGAATCCCAAGCGAGAGCGCGATTCCTGAATAAAATGCGAGGAAATCTCGGGCGGGAGCGGGGGTCCTGCCTAAATTGTAAGGAAGTCTCAGGCGGGAGCCGTTGTGGTTGTAACCTGGGGGCCCGGGGGCCAGTTTGAGCAGGAAGATTTTCTCTGTCAAAAACCAGGGTGCGAGCGTCGAGGGGCACACTTTGATGGAGAAAAAACAGCTTGCACCGGTGAGGGGGGATCAACAATAATTATTCTTCAGAAATGAGAATTCAACAGCAGCAGCAGCAGCAGCAGCAGCAGCAGCAGCAACAACAACAACAACAACAACAACAATGGCAGCAGCTGCAGCAGCCGCAGCCGCAGCCGCAGCCGCAGCAGCAGCAGCAGCAGCAACAGCAGCATTGCCGGCCCCAGGGCGCCCCACAGGCCGAGGTGGAGCCGAGAGACTCCCGCCGTTTTTGCGTTCCGCGGCGCGGGGGGGGGGGGGGGCGAGCCTTGAGGAGGCGCCGGGGGGCCCTCTCGGGAGCCCCCCCGCTTTCCAGGAAGGCTTCTCGGGAGCCTCCGAGCCCCTCTGAGGCGCCACCTGCCCTGAAGGCCAGCAGATCGGGGGTGGGTTCAGGCGATCGCAACCATGGATTCAGGGGGCGTGGACTAGCGACGGGTCCCGTCTCCATGGGAAATCGCGGATTTCCGCCGCCGAGCGAGGCGGCACTTGCCGCATTTAGGGCACCTCCCCCGGTCCCTGGATTTGGCGACCGCGCACCAGATCCATGGATCCCTAATCCGTGTTTGCGCGCCCCCGATGCATCCCGCCGCCCCCCCCCCACCCCAAGCGATTTTTTTGTGGGAGGGTTCACGTTTCCTGGACTGGGCCACTTGTGCCCTGCTGCGCGATTAGCCTTGGAGCAGTCTGAAACCGTTCATGCTGCGGGGACCTTGTGCCGAGCGGCCAGAAACGCAAAGTGGCCGAGCCTTCTGGGAACTCGACGCTCCCCCTCCCCCTCCCCTTCCTTGTTTCCCTGGCCCCGCTCCAGACCCCGTCTGCAAGCTCCAGATCTCTTACACAGGCAGGTACTTCTCAATGAGCTCTACGCTGGACACCGTCGCGTCCCTTTCACCACTGCCTGCTGGTGATGGCTGAGTGGAGACATAACCGCCATCTGTTTCGTCGAAGTGGCTCGTGGGGCGTCGAGGAGGCGCTGGGCCCCTCCTTGCGGAGCCTCCCGCGCCGCCCCTGGCGGGCTCCGCGCGCGCCAGGGAGGGGGGTCCAGCGCCGATCAAAGAGCTCCGCGCGGACCTCGGGCGGTCTGTTCGAGTGTGGCTGTCCTGGGGCTCCAGTCCGCGGGGTCGATGGCTGCGGCTTCAGCACGCTCGTGCTGCCTGCCCTCCTCCCCGCTCGCCCCCCAAACCCGCCCAGCCACTTGGGTGGCGTTCCACAGCGGGCCTCGCTTTGACGGTCCTGGGGCCAGGAAGTGGCCCCCAGAAGCCAAGAACCGTGCCCACAACGGCTGTCGGGATTTTTTGTGTCGCTCGGATCTGAGGGGTCGGCGCGGAAGCTGTCGAAAGCAAGACGCGTCTGTTTGTTCCTCACGTGTCCACCAGCGACCGTAGCGTTTCCCCCCTCAATCTCTTTCGGGGGTCCCTAGTCGGTGCGGTGACCACACCGTGTGGTGAGTCAATGGGCATTCTGGGTGACCGCACGGTTTTGGTACTTGGGTCGCTCTCCGAGGATATCTGCGCAGACGGGCCGTACGGTGATGTCTTCGGGGATTTCGAGGTCACCACGCAGTCTGTCACCAACGACGACGACGCGACGGCGGCGGCGGCGGCGGCGACGGCGATGGCGGCGACGGCGATGGCGGCGACGACGACGACGACGGCGGTGGCGGCGACGACGACGACGACGACGACGGCGGTGGCGGCGACGACGACGACGACGACGACGACGACGACGACGTCGACGGCGGCGGCGGCAGCGGCGGCGGCGGCGACGGCGACGGCGATGGCGGCGACGGCGACGGCGTCGGCGACGACGGTGACGACGACGACGACGTCGACGGCGGCGGCAGCGACGGCGGCGGCGACGACGTCGACGGCGGCGACGACGACCAGGATCAGGGCGAGGACGGGGGCCGCGGCCCCCCCCCCCAGCGCGCCGGCGCAGGCGCCGGCGCAGGGCGCCCCCGCGCAGGTACTCGGGCAGCAGCTGCCTCCGCGGGCGCCTGTCCGGCCCCCTGCCTCCCTCGGGCGCGGAGGCCCCAGGAGGGGGAGGAGGAGGAGGAGGCGGAGGAGGAGGAGGAGGAGGAGGAGGAGGAGGAGGAGGAGGAGGAGGAGGAGAGAGGAGGAGGAGGAGGAGGGAGGAGGAGGGAGGAGGAGGAGGAGGAGGAGGAGGAGGAGGGGGAGGAGGAGGAGGAGGAGGAGGGAGGAGGAGGAGGAGGAGGAGGAGGAGGAGGAGGAGGAGGAGGAGGAGGAGGGGGAGGAGGAGGAGGAGAGAGGGAGGAGGAGGAGGAGGAGGAGGAGGAGGAGGAGGAGTAGGAGGAGAGCCCAAGAGGCCCCGAGGAGTCCCCAAAAGGCTCCCAAGAGAGCCCCTGAGAGGTCCCAAGAGGCTCTTCCGAGGCACCCAAGACGCTCCACGAGGCCCTTGTGACCGCCACGAGGCCCCCAAGACGGACAAGGGCGCCCTCGTGGGCGCGAAGTTCTCTGCGCTTCGCGCATCGGCTCCGATTCCTCCTTATCCTCCTCGTCTCCCCTGGGGGGCTGCGGGGGTGCGGCGCGGGAGCGCGAAGTCATTCGCGCTTCGCGCTTCGCGCAGCGCGAAGCGCGAAGTTAGACGCCCTTGGAGAAAGAAAGGGGCATAGTGAGTCTGGATGATTGTCCTGTGGTTCCAATAGGGGCTCTTGAGACGGCCGCTCGGCTTCGCCCGCAAGGTCGTCGTGGGGCGCTTTCACTCGTTCTTCGAAGTCGCAGCGCCGCGGTCTCAGAAGTCCCTTCGGCTGGCGTCCCTTTTACATCAGACCGGAGGGAGAGTTGCGTCAGCCTTCTGGTGCAAGGGACGTCGTTTCGCGCTCCCGCGGGAGCGTTCCTCAGCCATATGTCTGCGACGGCACGCATGCTTGCAACGGCATGGCGGCAACGAGCTCACTGAAGGCCAACTTTTTGGCGACGCCCGCCTTCCGTGGGCGCACTGCCCTGTGTGCTCCCCCCCCCCTCGAACCTGCTTGCTCCTCTGCTGCAGCGCCGCCTGCGCGAGGCGCCTGCGGCAGGCGCCGCGGCGGAGCCGCCCGCCGTGGCGGCGGCGGCGGCCGTCCTGGAGCACGCGGCGGCGGCGCCGGCGGGGGATCACCCCGCGGCGGCGGCGGCGGCCGTCCTGGAGCCCGCGGCGGCGGCGCTGGCGGCGGCGCCGGCGGCGGGCGCGCGCCTGATGCGGTCGCAGGCGGGCCCCGCGCGCCCGCCTCGGGGGGCGCCTGCGGGAGGCTCCTCGTCCCCGGCGGCCGGTGGAGGCCCTCGGGGGCCCTCGGATTTCCGCTTCGGGCTCCCTCTCTTGGGCCTCTCTTGGGGCGCAGCGAGGGGGCCACGAATGGCTGCAACGGGGCCACGAACGGCAGCGATGGGGCCACGAAGGGCCTCAACGGGCCACGAAGGGCAGCGAGGGGGCCACGGAGGGCTGCAACGGGGCCACGAAACAAAGCGATGGAGGCCACGCAGGGCTGCAACGGGGCCACGAAGGGCAGTGAGGGGGCCACGAAGGGGTGCAACGGGGCCACGAAAGGCAGCGAGGGGGCCACGAAGGGTTGCAACGGGTCCACGAAGGGCAGCGAGGAGGCCACGAAGGGCTGCAACTGGGCCACGAACGGCAGCGAGATCTCGATTCCTAAAAAAATTGTGAGGGAGTCCTAAGCGTGAGCGCCACTCCTGGGTGCCTGAGTGTCGGGAGGGCGGCGCTTGAGTAAATTGCGGGAAATTCCAACGCAAGGGCGCTATTCTTAAGTAACTTGCAGGCAAGTCTCCAGCCGGAGCGCGACTCCAGAGCGCCGAGGGAGCGATTCTTGAATAAGTTGGAAGGAAGTCCCAAAGCAGAGCGCGATTCCTGAACACAATGCGTGGAAGTCTCGGGCGGGAGCGGGGGTCCTGGCTAAATTGTGAGGAAGTCTCAGGCGGGAACCGTTGCCGTTGTAACCCGGGGACCAGAGACGCAGTTTGAGGACGAATAATTTCCATCGTAAAAAAACAGGCGGCGAGCGCCGGGGGGGCACTTCAATTGAAACATACCATGTGCACCAGAGGGGGGATCAACATTATGTATGTATGTATGTTTCAGTAATGAGAGTTCAACGCCAACAGCACCAACAACAGCAACAACACCACCATCACCAACAACACCAACGCCACCACCATCACCAAAAACAACAACACCAACACAATCAGCAACACCAACAACACCAACAACAGCACCACCATCAACAACACCAGCAACACTAGCAACATCAACAGAAACAACAGCACCACAATCAACAACGACAACAACATCAACAACAACACCATCAACAATAGCAACATCGACAACACCATCAACAACAACAACAGCAACACCACCACCACCACCACCACCACCAACAACAACAACAACAACAACACTAACAGCTATTTTCGGAAATCCGCGCAGATCTTTTGGATCAGCACTAAACCTCCTTGGCGGCGCCTGCAGCCCCACCCTGTGCGCAGGGAGGGGGGAGCAGCGCCGATCCAAGAGATCCACCCAGACCTCCGAGAGTTCACATGTATCCTAATGGCCCTCGGCCCATCCCTCAACCGTGCCAGGATTGTGGGTCAGATTTCTCAGGGATGCTTCTTGGGGTCTCTTCGGAACGCTCTCGGGGGCCTCTGGGGGGCAGTTTTGGGGCCTCGTGGGGGCCTCTTGGGGGCCTCTTGGGGGCCTCTTGGGGCCTTTGGGGAGCCTCTTGGGGGCTTCTTGGGTGCCTCTTGGGTGCCTCGTGGGGCCTCTTGGGGGCCTCTTGGGGCCGAGGGCTCCAAATGTCCGTTCGGGTCCCCCTTCTGGGTCCCCTCTTGGAGCAGTCTTTGAGGCCTCTTGGGCCGTCTTGGGCGCCTGTTGGGCCGTCTTGGGGCCGTTTCGGGGCCCTCTAGGAAGCTTCCTGGGCAGTCTTGGGGCGATCTTGGCGGCCTGCTGTCTGGGAGTGTCGGGAAGCTGAAAAGGCGATAACGCCCAAAAGCATTCAGACACCTAAGGCAAGTCAACGATTCTTGCCTCGTGGGGCTCCGTTGGGAGCCGTCTTGGGGGCCTCTTGGAGCGCCTCGGAGGCCTCTTTGGCCGCCTGGACGCCATGCTGGGCGTCTTGGTGCGATCTTTCGGCGAATCAGGGTCCTCGCTGATTGTCTTGGGGGCCTCTTGGGGCCCTTTTGGCCCGTCTGGGGGCCCTTTGGGGCCCGAAAAAGTAGCGCAACAAGCCGCCGGGAACCCCAGGGGGCACGCGACAAGCCAAAGAAGAGTTGGCAATATGGGCTCCGGGCCCCGTAAAACCCTCAGGATCGAGAATTCGGGCTCTGGGGGCGAGGCACAGGACCTGAGGACACGCCCACTCCGTGCCCAGCGGCACGGTGGCGGATATGCAGATTCTGATTCCTCCAGATGAGAACCTTGGCATCCGACGATGTGCCTTTCAATGCGCGGCCCCAGAGTTCCCGCCCCCTTCGCCAGGGTCTTGCGTCCCCGGATCCGTTGATGAGACGACGTGGGGCTCGATGCGGGGCCCCAGAGGCGGGCAGCGAGGCAACGCGCCTGGACTGAAACGAACCTGCCGTCGGAGGCGTGGCTTTCCAGGCCATCGCCCACAGCTCGGGCCTCCAGCGGCCGTTCGGCACGACTCCGGCACCCCTGGAAAACGCTCTTGGCGAGGCGCAGCTGCTGGAGCGCATCCCGAGGCGAGAAGACCTCCAGGGACCAGCGCAGAGCTCCCGAACTCGTCGGAGGTCTGCGGCCCCTCTCTCCCTCCGCTGGCCTCCAGTTCCTCAGCCTCCACTTCCACCTCCTCCCCCTCCTCCTCCCCCTCCTCCTCCCCCTCCTCCTCCCCCTCCTCCTCCTCCCTCCTCCTCCTCCTCCTCCTCCTCCTCCTCTTCCTTCCTTCCTTCCTTCCTTCCTTCCTTCCTTCCTTCTCCTCCTCCTCCTCCTCGCCCGCCCCAGGCAGACCCCCCGGGCGCCAGGGGCGCCAAGGTCGGCGGCACCGCGATGGAGGCGGCGTGCGCCCGCGGGGGGCGTGCTGGGGGAGGGGCGGGGGCTTGGGGCACCTCTCGGCGGCGAGCCCGGGAGGGAAGCGAGAGAGAGCAGGCCCTCCCAGACGGCTCGGACGCCCCTCCTGGCCTCCTGGGAGAAGTGTCCTGAGCTCTCCCCGACGACAGGGGTGACCTCTCGGGAGGCCGGAGGGCTTCTGGGAAGCCCCGCCGCCCTCCGAGAGGGCCTCCGCCTCCTCGCTTGCCCCCCCTCGCTCGCCGCCGAGCGCCAGACGTCGCGGGCGCTGCCCGTCCGCGGCCACGTCGGGGGGCGACGGGAGCGATGGGGGTGGAGGCTCCGCCCCCCCATCGGCCCATCGCCCACGCCTCGCCGAGAGGGGCCCGCTGGCCCGCCCCGCGCAGGCAGTCGGGGCGCGGACTCTCGCTCTCGGGGGCCGAGGGCCGATCTGTGGGGTCGATGCCTCGCCCATCGTGGCCCCGCGGGGGGGGGGAGGGGGGCGCGGAGGAGGGGGGGACGGAAAGCCAGCAGGCAGCCTCCGCCGACGCGCCACGGCCGAGGATGCCGTCGGGCTTCGCGCAGGCAGGTGCGGATTCGCTCTCGGGGGCCGAGAGCGGATCTATGGGCGATGCCTCGCCGAACGTGGCCCCGCGGGAGGGGGGGGGGGCGCGGAAGAGGGGGGGACGGAAAGCCAGCAGGCGGGCAGCCTACGCCGACGCGCCGCGGCCGAGGATGCCGTCGGGCTTGGTTCGTTGGGTGCCTTTGTCTTGGCATCGCTCGGATCGGGCGTGTGCATCCTCTCCCGGCGAGGACCATCGAGGAGGATCTTGGATCATCTTGCGATATATATATATATATACATATATATACACACATATATGTATGTATGTTTATATATATATATATATATATATATGTATATGTACATAACAAAAAAAACGCGCGCGACATCGAAACATGCACGTGGAATGGGCGTCCGAGTGATGGCGAGGCGTGCCCTGCCTGTCGCGTGTCCCACCTCCCCGCCGTGTCTGGAGCACGGGCTCCCCCCCGGGGACAGGGACCCCTGTGCGAGCAAAAGAGGCCGAGAAGAGAAGAAAGCGTCTCGGAGGTGGACAGACCTCCTACCCTGGCACGTCGATTAAGGAATTGGCCGTTTTCGGTTCGCGAGGGGGGGTCGCGGCCGTCCTTTTTGCGGGTCCAGGTCCGTCGGTTTCGGTCCCAGGCCGTCTTCACTAAGGGGAGGTCTACTAAAGGGAGGTTTGTCCACCCCCGAACGTTGGCAGGCCACCCGGAGAGCTTGGCCTTTAGACACCAGGTGCTCGCCCTCGGCCTTTCCAGAAGCCGCTCGGCCTCCCGTGGTCGCTTGAACCTCAAGCCTCCTCCCAGTCTTCGGAGAGAACACGTTGGCAGGCCACCCCGAGCTTGGCCTCTGCACACCAGTAAGGGGCCACATGCGAACCCTACCCCTACCCTCCACGATTTCCGAGGGGGAGGGTGGGGTTCCCTTCGCTCGGGAGCTCCCGAACGGAGCGAACCCCACCCTCCCCCTCAGAAATCGTGGGGGGTAGGGGTGCAGTGCAGGTTTTAATACATGCTCCGCGTGCGAGTCACGTATTAAAAATGCAGGGTTTAGTATTAAAAACAACGATGAGTTCACGCATCAATGCATTCATAAATCAATCATGTATTAAACATCTTATATTTTTAAACACCCTATGTATCAAAAACTGCCCTGTAGGGTTCGCACGTGGCCCCCTAACAAGTTGCTCGCTCGCGGCCCTTTACCAAACCTCCCGGCCCCTCCCCCTCGGAAATCGTGGGGGTAGGGGCAGGGTTCGCATGTGGCCCCCCTAACCCGGTGCTCGCTCGCGGCCCTTCTCCAAACCTCCCGGCCCCTCCCGGTCGCCTGCACTTTCGAGCCTCCTCTCCCAGTCTTCGGCACCTGCGGAGGGCGGGCGGCCGCGTTCGGGGCGCCGGGCGCTTCCCGCCTGCCCCCCCCCCCCCCCCAGGTTTGAAGTCGGGCGTGTCCCTCTACGGGGGGAACATTCAAGAATAGTAACAAGATCGTCAGGGGACGATTTTTGGACCATTTTGGGCCATCTTGGAGTATTTTTGGTGTACTTTCTATGT